TGCAAACAGACTAATATCAATAGTAATAGTTATAATAACAATAATAATAATAGTGTTGAAGTGAGTTAAGATAATCTTACGGATAAAGCATAGATTTAAATGAATCAAGAATAATAATAATGGCAGTAATAATAACAAAAATAATAATAAGAAGAGGTAGAATAATAACAAGTAGAGAATAAAACGTATTACCATGGTAGATTAAGAGTTACGACCATCTCCTTTTGTATACAGAGAGCTGGTTTATAAATTCGAATTGCACAAGCCTCTGCAATTGCAAGCATCTTCTTGTTTCTTTGTTTGCTGACAATGGTAAATGACTTGACTGCGTCGATATCATGTCCGTAATCTACAAGATGTTTTGTTATTGAGGATTTTGGCACTTTGAACTCAGCTGTTTTCAACCATTTTGGCAAATGCTCCATCATGCGAGTAGACAATCGCCTTTCCGTACGACCTATGTATTTGCTGCCACAAACACACTCAAATTGATATATGCAGTTTGAAGTGTCGAGGATTGGCGACTGGTCTTTCCCAGATTGTTGAAGCACTCGCTTGGTGGTGTTAAGGATAACAAGTTTTGCAGCATAATAAGTTCTCTTGATGGCTTTGTCGAGTCTTCGTTTCACTACTTCTTGTACGTCATCTCCTTTGAACGGTAAATTGATATAAACAGGTTTCTTTGGAACTGTTTGAATCGTTTTGCGGGGGGTAGTTTCTTTGGAGTATTTATTAATGAACTTCTCAGGATATCCATTCTTAGATAAAATATCCTTCAGAGATTTTATTTCCTGTTCAATAGTACTGTCAGAACAAATTTTCCGTGCTCTATTGAACAGTGTTCTGACTAGGTTCTTTTTGTACTGGATTGGGACAAAGCTCTTGAAATGCATGTACTGTCCTGTCCATGAAGACTTTCTAAATATAGATCTTTCGATTGTGCCATCATTCATTTTGGCTAGAAAAACGTCTAGGAATTTCATAGTATCGTTTTCCTCGTGTTCTACTGTGAAATTGAGATTTGGATGGCATGAATTGAATTTTATCAACATGTCTTCCGCTTTTGATCTGCTTTCACAGACAATAAAAATGTCATCAACATATCTTAGGTATACATTTGTTTCTTGTATGTGCTGCTGTAAAGCACCGGTTTCTAGGCGTGACAGGAATAAGTCGGCGAAAAGTGGTCCCAAAGGGCTTCCCATTGCGACACCATCAACTTGACGGAACAGACGCCCGTTGAATTGGAATTGGACATTTTTAGTACATAAAAGTAGTAATTTCCTCAATTCCGATGTTGGAATGGGTATGTCTTCAGCTTCTTTACATATGAAGTCGATAGTCTCAACAACTGGCACATTTGTGAAAAGGGAGGTAACATCGAAAGAGACCAAATGCTTATCGGATACATTGAAATCTTTAATTTGATTGACAAATTGAAATGAATCAGAGACTACATGTGTTCCGAAACGTTTCAACAATGGCTGCAACAGTTCACATAACCACTGTGCTAGTCTGTGGTACGGCGAGTTTATCATAGAGAGTATGGGTCTTAACGGCGCTCCTGGTTTGTGTATTTTTACGCGTCCGTATAGTTTTGGGATTTGTGACCCAATCGGTTTGATATTTCTATATGTGTTTTCGTCTATGTATTTATTTTTGAAGAGTTGTCGTAGATGCTGCACAATTTTCCTTTCGGTTGATAACGTTTGGTCTTTTGCATGGTTATCCAATTTGAATTTAGATTCATCGGCGAGAATTTGATGCATTTTTTCGAGATAATCTATCTTGTTCATTAGCACTACACTTTGTCCTTTATCAGCTTGTAGGATAACAAGATTTTTGTCTTTTCGAAGCTTGTTTAAAGATCGCCAGTGTTCTTTGGTGATATGCGACTTTTGATTGGTCGGCATGACTCGAAATTGATGAGCGATATCAACCATCTTTGCTTTCAACCAGCTTTCGCTGTCACTGGACGTGGCATGTAGCCCCATAAGTTGATCATAAAGATTTTCGAATTGGCATTCGATATCGATTTGCTTTATCTTCTTCATGGGAACACAGAATTTGAATCCCAATGACAGAATTTCTGCTTGTTCTTTTGATAGGGAAACATCAGATAAATTATGAACATAATTAGATATATCCACTGGGAAAATTTCATTTGGCGGTTCCGGATAAAGTGACTTCTTCAGTTTCTTTACTTCTGATTCTTTTGTCTTTTTTGATGTGGCATGCAGATATTTAGTGAATTTAATATAACATACGAAGTTTAAGTCATTTTGCACATTGATCAGTTTGCTTGACAATAGGCATAAATTACTGATTTCATCTGTTTCAGAAGACAAATGTGATTCAGCAAGACGGTAAAGATTCGCTCGTGTAGGTCTCAGATGATCTTTACGCAAGGATTTGTAAAATGTTCGAGGATAAATATTATTCTGGATACATTCTTTCAAAAAATCTCGTCGTGCAGAGTGTTTAGCAATCCTGCACTTCAATTTCACTAGATCATTTAGTGCATTGATGGTGCTTTTTGGGAGACGCTTCTTCAAGAATTGAAAACATTTATTTCCCGATACGAATTTAAAACAAGCAATAAAGGTTAATAAAGCAGGATTTAATGAATTCATCAAATTTCGGTAGAACTCGTCAGCTGAATACTCTACATACACGAATACATATACTTTTGAAATTACATTGGGAGATATAAGACTGATAAGTTGAATACTCTACGTACACGAATATATATACTTTTGAAATTACATAGGGAGACATAAGGCTGATAAGTAAACAAACTACATTGAATTAATCATGCAGAGAGACAGGTGCGAATATTTTCCAGGTCATGTTCAAATAGATAAGGGGAGAGAGAGAGTATGAGAGATCAAAATTAAGATAAATTGCATTACGCTTCAATTACATCACTTAGATAAACAATTAGTCATTAGGGAATATAACTAGAATTGCAAACAGACTAATATCAATAGTAATAGTTATAATAACAATAATAATAATAGTGTTGAAGTGAGTTAAGATAATCTTACGGATAAAGCATAGATTTAAATGAATCAAGAATAATAATAATGGAAGTAATAATAACAAAAATAATAATAAGAAGAGGTAGAATAATAACAAGTAGAGAATAAAACGTATTACCATGGTAGATTAAGAGTTACGACCATCTCCTTTTGTATACAGAGAGCTGGTTTATAAATTCGAATTGCACAAGCCTCTGCAATTGCAAGCATCTTCTTGTTTCTTTGTTTGCTGACAATGGTAAATGACTTGACTGCGTCGATATCATGTCCGTAATCTACAAGATGTTTTGTTATTGAGGATTTTGGCACTTTGAACTCAGCTGTTTTCAACCATTTTGGCAAATGCTCCATCATGCGAGTAGACAATCGCCTTTCCGTACGACCTATGTATTTGCTGCCACAAACACACTCAAATTGATATATGCAGTTTGAAGTGTCGAGGATTGGCGACTGGTCTTTCCCAGATTGTTGAAGCACTCGCTTGGTGGTGTTAAGGATAACAAGTTTTGCAGCATAATAAGTTCTCTTGATGGCTTTGTCGAGTCTTCGTTTCACTACTTCTTGTACGTCATCTCCTTTGAACGGTAAATTGATATAAACAGGTTTCTTTGGAACTGTTTGAATCGTTTTGCGGGGGGTAGTTTCTTTGGAGTATTTATTAATGAACTTCTCAGGATATCCATTCTTAGATAAAATATCCTTCAGAGATTTTATTTCCTGTTCAATAGTACTGTCAGAACAAATTTTCCGTGCTCTATTGAACAGTGTTCTGACTAGGTTCTTTTTGTACTGGATTGGGACAAAGCTCTTGAAATGCATGTACTGTCCTGTCCATGAAGACTTTCTAAATATAGATCTTTCGATTGTGCCATCATTCATTTTGGCTAGAAAAACGTCTAGGAATTTCATAGTATCGTTTTCCTCGTGTTCTACTGTGAAATTGAGATTTGGATGGCATGAATTGAATTTTATCAACATGTCTTCCGCTTTTGATCTGCTTTCACAGACAATAAAAATGTCATCAACATATCTTAGGTATACATTTGTTTCTTGTATGTGCTGCTGTAAAGCACCGGTTTCTAGGCGTGACAGGAATAAGTCGGCGAAAAGTGGTCCCAAAGGGCTTCCCATTGCGACACCATCAACTTGACGGAACAGACGCCCGTTGAATTGGAATTGGACATTTTTAGTACATAATCACAATGAGTGAATGCATCTGCACCAGCCACTGACAACGATTTTCTCTAATTATCACCGGTTCTTAGAATCCCAAGGTCCCTAACCAGGAAGTCTACACCTCCCTACGTGGTTGGCTTGTCGGCTTATATTAACTGTTATTCGCTCACATCAGATAATTGTCATTCTACTCAACCTGTGAGCGCCACTCAGCCAATGAATCGAGGTATATTGTAAAGCAGTGGATGACTGTGATGAGGGTATAAGTAAAAAACTTGGGCACTGTGATAGAGTTAACTCCATTATGGATAAGATTTTATTTTGATAAACCAGTATTATGCAGTAATACTAACTGATGACGTTTCCAGCGCAAACATGTATATAAATGAAGGAAAAAGTTGTGTGAGTAATATGATTATGAGCAATAGTTTGTGCTCGAAACGTGGTCATCAGTTGATATTACTGTACAACACTGTGTGATTTATCAAAATAAAATCTTATCCATAATGGAGTGTGATGAGGGTGTTTCATTTTTGCTCTAGGTACTTCTTTAAAAGTTAATACAGGTACAACTTTGGAAGGGACGATTGCAAATGTATTTGCGACCCCTGGGAGTTTGAACGTGTATCGACTGCGCTTGGAAGTCAACTATGATAACCGCTACACCACGAGGGATGGATTCCGTTTCAAAATTAATTAGGTGTATTAACAATCTATCATGTTATAACTGTTGTTTTTTTCCAGTTAAATAAACAAGCGTTCTTTTACTATTTACCCTTTCAGAGTTCACCTTCTCCAAGGGGCATTCCCTTCATGTATGAAGAAATTGTGGGAGGCATATGATAGAGTGAAGGGTTCTGAAAATGATCATCCAAGTATGAAAAAGATGCATATTTGTGTAATTTTGTTTTTAAAAAATGTATATTCATAATTTACCCTCTAACCTGATCGGCTTGTGCAGCGTATTATTATTCTTACCCAAGGTTCCACAGCACATCCTCACCTTGTGGTGTTCTCTACTGCCTTCTTCAGCTGACTCCGCAATTGACCATAAGCTCTTATTTCCTCTTCACACGATCTCCTCCATATTACTCTCCGTCATCCTATTCGTCTCTTTCCATTCAAGTTCCACTTGAGCGATAACCTAGCTTCCTTCAGTCTCTTCATCGTCTGTGAGATCCATCTCCATTTTGGGAGCAATAAATAGGTTCTTGGTTGGTTCGTTGGCTGTTAAAGTTCCTTGTCACTTATCTTTTCTGATCGGCCATTTAACCTTTAGTATGGACCGAGGTGGGTGACTGAAGCCTGTTTTGTGACGCGCCAAGTCTCTAATTCATAAAAGAGTGTAGAACTGTGACTGACTTGACATTGACGTTTAAAATCTGAGTCTTATTTTTTTTATCCCGGCTGTGAGTGCAGAGGATTTCCCAACTGATTTCAGAGCGATAAATGTCTCACTCGCTTCTTTTATCGTGAGTGACTAGTTTAGTTTTGACATCTTCATCCCTACCTTCAATGTAGTTGAATTGAAACGATGCTGCCCTAGATATAAGTGAAACGAGGAATTGACTTCTTTCCAATGTGTACTTCCGATAGTGATTAGTGGCTTGTTATTATTGGTTGGTTAGGTAGGTAGGTATCTTCATCACCTTCACTTGAAATCCTGTCTTCACTGCCTCCTGTCTCCTCTGCTAACCTTTTGGTTCTTCAAAAGAATGGTTACTGAACAAAGAATATTCATATTATTGATGAGTTGATTATCATCAGGCTCTATAGTTATATACCTATACATTATAGTGAATGAATGAATTAGTTAGTGTTATTAACAACATGATTGTTATTTAAATAACATCACATCATTAATAATCATAGTAATACCAATGGATTACAGTTCAATAGCATCAGCATAACAATACACACTGAATGTCAGTTGAATTAGGAAAGATAATATTACAAATTCATGAATTTCTTGTCTCTACTGTAGGCCAGTCTGGGCAGTAGTAGTGGCGGCTGAATTCGCTTGTTTTGCATACAAAGCACTGGTTGTTTCATACGAATTGCAACAGCCTCAGCTATTTGGAGCATGCGGTCCTTTGATGTTTTTGGCAATTTATTTGGTAGTCGGTAGATGACGATAAAGAAGGATTCTTCAACACTGGCTTTGTGGCCTGTTTGCACCAGATGGTCTAATATCGAACTGGTATTGGTTTTCATTACACTTTTACTTAGCCATAGTGAGAGATGTTCTCGAGTGAGCACGAAAAATCAAGTTCCTCAAGCAACGGCCGATATAACTCACTCCACAAGCGCAGTTGAATTGGTAGATGCAATTTGAAGTGGCTAGCTAGTCTAGGTACTTCATCTTTCAGTCGAGGTAGTCGTGTAGAGAATAAGACGTGTATTTCTCCAGCATTAAAAGTTCTTTGAACTGATTTTCTTAATTTACTCGTAATTGCTTCACTTGGTATATCGCTCTTGAGTTGCAGTCATATATAAAAAGGCTTGTTGTTTATGGTTAGTGAGTACTCCTTTTCGGTTTTCTTTGTCGTGTGTTTCTTAATAAATTTTTTGGGATAGCTATTTTCGATGAAAGTACCATACACGATGCTTAATTCATCTTCAATTGCTTCTTCTGAGCATATACTTCTATCTCTGTGGCTGAGGTTCTGTACTAAATTTCTTTTGTACTTGAGAGGAACGAAGCTGTGAAAATGTGTGTGTATATTGTCCTGTCCAAGTACTTTTTCTTCGCAAATTTCCTTTTATGCTATCATTTGGTTTTCTTGTAAGGAGGACATCCAGGAAGGCGATTCTGTTTTGAGATTCCTCTTCACACGTGAACTTCATAGTCAAATGTGCTTCATTGAATTCAGTAATTATTGTACTCCTATCCGAATCATTATCCCAAAGAATAAAGGTGTCATCCATATACCGGCAATAAAATGAGAACTTTCTGACAAAGTTGTTCAGAGGTTCATTTTCTATGTTACTTAGAAAGAAATCAGCCAAAATGAGACCCAATGGGATGCCCATCGCCACTCGTCCACTTGCCTGTGAAGCGTACCGTCAAATTTGAAGTTTACATTCATGGTACACCTTAATAACAAACAATTCTTTTAGGATTTCAGTACGGATGCCAATGTTTGTCGACTGGTTATCCACTTGTTCGCACATGTAGTTAAATGTTTCTACCAGAGGTACATTTGTGAATAAAGGCATCATGTCCGGAGGTATCATGGTTTTGTCTTTGATATTAATATCTTTGATTTTGTCTACGAATTCCAATACATCTTTGACGCTATATTTCACTATCTTCTCATGCTTGTAGGTTTCCTAGTTTGTTTAACGCGGTGGATGCCTTTGTTTTTGGCTTATAATTATCTTGTGTTTATTGCTTGTAGTGATGAAGTGATCAAAGCCTAGGCGGTGCATAGAAATGACAACAGTCATTTGTGTAGCGTATGCCAACAGGTTTTGTTAACTTGACATCGTGTCGTGTGGTTGAAGCATATATTACTTGTACTTTGAGAGCCTCAAAGACTCATTGCCGCCTATCGATGATTAGGAAGTTAGTGAAGTTGAATGATTGATTATGAAACAGTGACTGTCGTATTCCGATGCTTAGATACACTCGCTGCGTAACCTATTAGCATCCAGTTGTGGACCCTCTCTTAGGAGGTTGGCGTTATGTCCTGCTGAAAAATAGACAGATGTCTACTGTACTTCATGGTGTTCATTTGTTTAGTAATTGATATATATATATATATATATATATATGATATTGAGGTTAAGCGTCGAGCGCTAGGTAAGGAGAGGAGATCAATCGATGAGACTGTGGAGTTACACTGATTGAGGTGGTTAGGACATGTGTTACGCCTGTATCCCTAGCCATCACCTTCCTCGACAGACAGGCACTGTTAGTTGACATAAAATCAGGTTGGAAAAGAGGTGGTGGTGGTCAAACCAAAACATGGCTTCATCAGTCAGTGTAATCCACAACAGTTAGTTAAAGCCATCCAGTCACGTAGGAAGGTGTAGACTGGCTTCCTGGTTGGGATCCTCGAGACAGTTTAACCAATAAAGACAGGAGACAATTGGTGATATGGCTCAAAATTATCGTTGTCAATGTCTGGCGTAGATGCATCCACTCCTTGTGACTTATAATTTCCCATCAAACTCTGTTGATCTTCGATATTACTATTCTTTTTGCCTCATATCTCTTTTAACTGTCAGTATTTTGCATTTCTTTTTACTTTCTTCCCTTGCTTTGTCTGGCGACTTGAACTTCTGCACATCGGTGCAAAGTTCCATGTTGAAACCAGTCAGTGTGATGATATCTACCTAGAAAAGGCTTCTTTGTTCATAAATATCTTTGAGTAAATGTGCCTAATTTCGTGGTTCCGTTAGCTATCCATAACTTCCAGACATTCAACGTTGAGATGCGGCGTGCTTCACTTGTTAATTAGTTAACAGAATCATTGCATGGCCAAATAATAGTTAAGAATTTTTTCTTTTTAATTATTCTACTTGTTATTTGGTAGGTAGTTGACGAACAGTGGAGTCCAGACTGTGCTTCTGATTACATCAGCTTGATATACCTGCAGTACCCAGTGATACTGGTGATAATTCTCCCACCGGGACTTGAACCCAGCACTCATTGTTTCATACACAAAAGCGTGTTTTCCCTCAGACCACTCTGGTCATTCTTTGTGTTCGCGTTGGTGGTAGACCATTAAGGCTTCAAACTGTGAAATTTTCAATATCTATGGTATCACTGTTGTTTGTTTTACAAAATAGGGTCAATAGCTTCACGCCCAACCTTGTCTGTACGTTGGTTGGGAATCAAGCTCGAACCTCTTATTAGTCCCGTATTCAGCCCGTAAAATCTAATCATACATTCATTCTCCTTTATCAGTTGGAAAAAAAGAAATAGTGGTTTGTACAAAATAAAATGGTACAATCATTTATTTCGTTGACTCCTCATCAGCTGCTCAGTCCGAGGATATTGTTACGTTTATGTACAGAAACAATTTTAGCATACACAGAGAGTTTATTTTTAAACAAAAATCAATGTATGCATAAAGTGTTAATCAATAATAATATAATAATAATAATAACTTTATTCCAAACAACATTAATAATAATCATACAGAATGGAATTTTTGGGCTAGAAGACGGTAGTCTCCAGAGATCAGTTTACAGAAAATCGATATGGAATTGGCAATACTTGGAGCTTAATATTTTTTTCTCCAAATAGCTATAAATGAGCACTAGTCATGACTGTGTACTATAGAGTCAGGAGAATACGCTCTATTGACAAATTAGAGGAAGACTTTCTGCTTCTCGAAAACATGTTGAAAAGTAGCGGTTACCTTCAGAGCTTCATGAACAATTTACGGAGATATGAAGACTCACTAATGTCAAACAAAGTCACAGTAGAAAAAATGGGCTGTCTTCATTCAACTCGCTTTTAAAAATGCCAAAAATTATTGCAATGATAGTCAACAGAAGATTGAGTACGTCACTAGCTAGAACCTATCATGGAACTAAGCCTGTTCCCGTCTATCGGACAACATGCACTTTGTTGCAGTCAAAAGTCGACAGACAGCCTTTTTGTGTTATCTCCACCTGTTTATGCAAATTAACGTGCGTGTGTGGAGGCAGTTACATTATTGGAAGAACAGAAAGAAGAAAGAAAAATCTCTGTTTTTCTTAACATCTACCGGTGCGTCGGTGGCACAGTGGTTAGGACTCTCGCCGACCAAGCACATGGTCCAAGGTTCGAACCCCTGCCGACGCACATCTGATATCTGTGGTTGGCCTGCGAAATTTGGGCTACCGATATCCATGCTGAAAATTCCATACTTGTACCAAAAATACAGTGTGGAATCAAGCTGTAATCAAAAATAAAAAAAAATAAGAAAGCCTACGTCTCAGGGGTAAAAACTCTTGCAATTGTGTCTTTACCAGACATCTCCTTGTGAAACTTGTCAGAAGGGGGACATCATGAAATCCTTTGAAATTATAAACAGACAGATTAGTTCACTTCTCCTCAAGTTTGCAAAGGCAATTTCTGTCAAGCGCCTGAAACCTCGACATATGTGTTCAACAAGAAGCAGTTATCACTCTTTCCTTGGCCATCTGGTAACTGGATATCCTTGTTCCCTCTTTCATTTGATTACGTGATCTTTGACCTCATGCCTTTTAATATATTGTAATTCTCCTTGCCTCTTGTTTCTATGATTTGAGTTGGGTTAAGTATGTTTTCACTCAATTTATGAGTTACTCATCATCTTTAGCCTTCCCTTCGGTTTTATTACGCAACTCCTTTACTGTTGTATGCATACATTTACTTTCTTTAAACTTGAGCTCTCTGTGTATGTGTGTCAGTATGATGGTTTCTGTACACAAACTTAAAAATGTCTTATGTCTGTAAATAGTAGCTGATAAGAACTCAACGAAATATATAAAGAAATGATGGTATACCATCATTATCTTATTCTGCACAAACGACTATTGGTTTTGCTTTGTTCGAATTCTATTCATCAAAAAACGTAAATACATTTTACAAGCTTATTAATTCACTTTTAATATACTGTATTTCACAGATTTTAATATTCTTATTTGTTCTTGCTATTTTACGTCAGACATCTTTCCTGATGACCAATTATGGGTGGTTTTAGAATCTGCATTTTGTGGTGTACCGCTTGGGGATAATATTGTAAGTTTTGTGGTATGCATTGAGACTGATCGTAGATTTCAGTGTGTGTGTGTGTGTGTGTACTACTTGTTTCCTATCTATTGTATCTGATTCCATTGTGACTTTTATCTGAGGGCGGTGGCAATATTACAGTTGCGTTTTCTAAAAAGTAGCTGAAAGAAAACTGCTATACCCAACTAATTAGTGAGGCATTATACTCTTGTGGTGAGAGCAGGCTGCTAGCCGATTGGTTGGCACTAATCTACGTTAAGGTCTAGGTCACTAATATGGGCCTTGAGAAAATTTGAACAAGCCTGAGTCAACAACCAATCACAGCAAAGTTAACGTGGCAGAATATGATTCGCAGAGAGAACTCTATTTGTCAAGGAATCCCGAAACAACCAATCAGAAGCCTGCGTTTGTCTACCTAAACAACCAATCAGATGACTGCGCTTGTCTATAATAATGTAGTTGAAAGATGTATAAATACGTGTTGATTTTCATAATAAAACGATCTGTTGCCTGGCCCTTGTCTTCTGTTGTTACATTTGGTGTCGCTGCCTACCGACAAATGAAAAGCCTATACCCTGCAGTTTTTGATGGAGACATATGGATCTTCGGGCAGGACTTCAAGGCTTCTGCGCAGTTGAGTGGCGTTCAAGATCTGTCAGCGATGGAGCTGCTACTTGAGACGCTGCTGGGAGGTCGGGCGAAAGCAGCATACGAAGGTGTGGGCCGAAGTATGGACGAATGTTCGACAGGGTCAGGCAAACAGTTTCCAAAGTGGGAAGGACCATATATGGTCACTTCGAGATGGGGTTACGCAGACACAGTCGCAATGGCGAACAATAAGAGGCGCGTGAACGTCAGCGAGCTCCAGAAACGGATACAGCGAGACAAGCCAACGATGACGCCTGCACCAAGTAGATCAAGCCGACTTCAGTCGCACGTATTTGACGGGGGGACGAGTGTGGTGAGAGCAGGCTGCTAGCCGATTGGTTGGCACTAATCTACGTTAAGGTCTAGGTCACTAATATGGGCCTTGAGAAAATTTGAACAAGCCTGAGTCAACAACCAATCACAGCAAAGTTAACGTGGCAGAATATGATTCGCAGAGAGAACTCTATTTGTCAAGGAATCCCGAAACAACCAATCAGAAGCCTGCGTTTGTCTACCTAAACAACCAATCAGATGACTGCGCTTGTCTATAATAATGTAGTTGAAAGATGTATAAATACGTGTTGATTTTCATAATAAAACGATCTGTTGCCTGGCCCTTGTCTTCTGTTGTTACATTTGGTGTCGCTGCCTACCGACAAATGAAAAGCCTATACCCTGCAGTTTTTGATGGAGACATATGGATCTTCGGGCAGGACTTCAAGGCTTCTGCGCAGTTGAGTGGCGTTCAAGATCTGTCAGCGATGGAGCTGCTACTTGAGACGCTGCTGGGAGGTCGGGCGAAAGCAGCATACGAAGGTGTGGGCCGAAGTATGGACGAATGTTCGACAGGGTCAGGCAAACAGTTTCCAAAGTGGGAAGGACCATATATGGTCACTTCGAGATGGGGTTACGCAGACACAGTCGCAATGGCGAACAATAAGAGGCGCGTGAACGTCAGCGAGCTCCAGAAACGGATACAGCGAGACAAGCCAACGATGACGCCTGCACCAAGTAGATCAAGCCGACTTCAGTCGCACGTATTTGACGGGGGGACGAGTGTGGTGAGAGCAGGCTGCTAGCCGATTGGTTGGCACTAATCTACGTTAAGGTCTAGGTCACTAATATGGGCCGTGAGAAAATTTGAACAAGCCTGAGTCAACAACCAATCACAGCAAAGTTAACGTGGCAGAATATGATTCGCAGAGAGAACTCTATTTGTCAAGGAATCCCGAAACAACCAATCAGAAGCCTGCGTTTGTCTACCTAAACAACCAATCAGATGACTGCGCTTGTCTATAATAATGTAGTTGAAAGATGTATAAATACGTGTTGATTTTCATAATAAAACGATCTGTTGCCTGGCCCTTGTCTTCTGTTGTTACACTCTTACTGTAACTACAGAAGACAACGGCCTGACAACAGACCGTTTATTGAGAGACATTTGTAGATTTTTATGTACATATATTATTGTTCATTATTATTAGCAGAGGAACAGTGTCTTCTGATTGTTTGTTTTCCTGCTAAAGGTTATTTTGTCATCTCTTTGTTACCGTTTCTTAGACAGTCCAGTGATATATATATATATATCTGCGAATCGTATCCGCCCACGCAAAGTCTGCTGTGATTGGTTGTTAAATTCGTCAAGGTTAGCCTTTGTTCTTGTTTTCTCACATAGCCCCGGATCAGGACGTGAACATTGACGTCATTCGCTGTCCACACATTTTGGCCAGCATAAAGCTCTCACCACATTAATACTCATAAAGTATGTATCAACCCTAATGATATGATTGCTGATAATGTAATAGCATGAATACAAAAGACTCGTATTGCACTTTTCCAACACTAGCCATGCCTAGCGTAAACGTGATCTCTGCCTGGCGATAGCCAGTCTTTTGACGTGTGTACTGCTCAGAAGCTCATTGTCTCCTTTATTTGTGTCTGTAAGACATTAGACCATTAGAATTGGAATATACCTGAATATAGGGCTAGTTCACTTTGGTCGCAGAAGTTTGCTTTCTCTTACCCGTGTGTAAAGTGGTATAATAGTTTGAGGAATATTGTGGTTAGGCATTTAGTGTTAGCTAATGAAGGGAAGTCAGTCTATGTGGCTCTGATACAACACATTGATTGAGATAAGCAAGGACATGTGTTGCGCATCCTGAGCCACTGTCCTCCTTGTTGATCAATGATCAGTGACCTAGAACCAGATGTGGCAGAGTTAGGCGGGGTCTATGGGTTCTTGACTTGAGAATCCCGCCCCACGTACAACTGCTGTATGGGTCTCCACAAAATAAGTGTGACTTATAGCCCTGTACAAGGTGATTGACACCTAACTTACCATTGTGTTCTGAATGTTACTCAATAAATAACTTCCTATAGTGCTACATACTTTATCATCAGTTGTCAGCATGTCTAGTATGTATAGAATTATGCCTCATCATGAATTTTCTCTTGAATCGCTGCACTTTTTGAAGTAAGATTCACTAACATACTGTCGGTGAATCTGATGCTCGCTGGTAACAGGCTACAGGATGAGGTTGTCTGGAGGTTCGGTAAAAAAGTGTGACCAGTTGGGACCACTAGGTCGGGAGTAAGGACAAACACTCTCCTGTGGCGTTGGCTGGCGGTTGCGCTGTATATAGCGCCAACTGCTAGAAGTTAGAATTCTTGGGCTGGGGATTGAGGTGAATCGTCCTAATGGATGGATAGTCTACGAGCTTGTTTTGTAGCCGTAGGGTCCCAGATTCAAACTTCGCACTGTGGGGGAGCGTGCTGATAAAGAGTCCGGAACCAGTACTCTCTGATGGTTTCCAATGCTTCTCTAATTGATATCAACCCGCGGTCAATCCCTGCAGACTAACCCTTGAAAATCATTTTCTACTGGTTTGCAGTTTCAACTGATGGAAGCACTACAAATTTCTTCTCGGAGTTTTTGAGATTTGTGTGTATAATGTATGTTCTGTGGAGCTCTGATTTGTGGTCTAGACACCAGGCTCCTTCAACCGCTGGATTAAGAGTTGATTTTCGTTTCCATTCAACAATGTTTGGACAACCGAGAGGTATGTATCCCTAATCCTTACGCAGTAGATATGTGGCTCACTACTAACTGCATGGAATTGTGCAAATGGCTGTTGAGTAGTAGTAATGTATGTTCTCACCAAGAGTATAAGCGCTACAGAGGGAGTTACGTCTGACGATAAAGATTCCTAAAGGTTTAACATTTTTCCCCCTCCTTTGTGTTTCGAGTACAACATATGACTACAGACTTTAAGATATGAAGTGTCAGTAGTAGTGTTTGCTGTTAACTGGATTTGAGCGGAGGGGGGAGGCTTGCTATCCTCATGCCCAACTTTTTCTCTTCATCTGGCTTATTACTTTAAGGCGTATTAGTATAACAAAAACAAACTTGGCGCATTAACGACATAAAGAGATGCATCACACAAAATCTCGTCTGCCCTGATGATCAGATCGAAGCGGAGATAGTTATCTTAAGTAACTAACCTTTCCACCTGCCTTTGACATGATAATTCTGCTCCATAAGGCAGGGGAGAAGTGTCATCGAGTACATTCCCATGCTTTCCGGTGATTCAGTAAGGTTCACATGTTACCCACATACACCATAGGTTTCGAATGAGGATTTCCCAGTTTCCACCAGTTCGGTTCTACACGCCAAAACTTTTGAATTCACCTTTTCAGTTTTGTGAGGAACATCCCTGCGTTGTAAAGGCTTAGTAATAAATATGATTTATCTGACAGTGGCTATGAACGGTTGTCGCCATATGATGGGAGTATTTCGAAAGAAAGACCGGAGTCTACCCATCCACCTAGTGCCATTGTTGGACGTTCACGGGGTCATCAGTCAAGCTAAGTTTAGGAGAAATTATATATATATATATACTTATATATATATATATTTGTATAATTTTATTTCTGTTTTTCTTTCTTCTCTATAAAAGCCTTCTTGTCCTTGTGCAAGACTTTCGCTTCTCCTGCAAGTCGGATTTTCCCTTGCAGTAGCTGAACAAGAAATGAATTTCGAACACAGAGATCTTCATTTGGGGAATGTTTTGGTCAAGGAAAGTCCTGTGTCTCGTGCTAGGAATCCTTCTTTATCCTCTAAAACATCATCATCTTCTTACCCTTTTCCATCCGGCTCCGTCTCGTCATCGTCCACATCTCCGAAAGGTTACTGTAAGTATTGTTCTCACTTGGAAGGGGTGGATGAAGAATCTGATAAAGAAAATAAAGAATATTTCATTATTGAAAAAGTCAACAATTACGAATATGTGGAATTTCGTCTGAATAATCAGATGATCAGAGTTCCCAAATGTGGTATCACGGCTTATCTTATAGACTTTACTTTGTCCCGTTTAGAGCAAGGTAAGTAGTCGGGTGGGGAATTATTTTGCACACTGTTTGTTTTCTCAAAGTTTCTTTTCACTCTCATATACTATAACTACTACATACTGAATGATGTATATATATATATATATGTATATATATATATATATATATATATATATATTGGGGTTTCAGATCACCGAAAATATCCATTGAGTTATGAAGAAAATTAAAAGACGAATTCAACGAAGAGAATTTTCTTTATCGACGAAATCATCTTCAGAGGCTGGCTGTACAGTCGTATTTATATTTACCAATATATATATAGTAGTCTATTATTGAGTGATAGGACGGATGATATAATTGATATAATTACTCAGAAGTGGCTTTAGAAGTAAAAAATAAAAGTTGTAAATTACGTGGTACTCAACGGCGCAAAGTTAGAAATTTGGTAAGATGAAAATTGCTATTGGGTGCCAATAAAAGTATTGAGTGAAATGTACAAAAGGAACATATGGGAGTGATAACAGTGAATTAACTATGAAACTAAAAGTAAAATTGGAAAAAGAAAAAAATTTTTTTACAGGGAACGATTAGAGGAGGTTAAGACCATGGTAGAATAAGTGACTGGACTAACCTTTTCTGTCTACAGAGTCTGGGGTTGTATTGATGAATTACCATCGCCTTAGCCATACACAAAAGCCGAAACCTGATACCCTTTGTACCGTTTGCCTCACCCTGTAGATAATCTTGAAAGACTACTCTGGTGGAATTACGTGGCTTGAGTTCACTGAATGGTCGAGAATTAAGCTGGGAATTGTCCTGCATTGTCCTTTGGCTAACCATGCCGGATAATGTTCTGAGGTGCGTTTGGAGAGTGTACGCTTTGTGGGGTCAATATAACTAGCTCCACAGGCGCAGGTGAATGTATGAACACACACTGAAGTGGCTCAAAGCGGAAGTTTATCCTTCGCGCATCCGAAGATCATTTGTCGGCTGTGGAAATTGATACGTAGCTCAGCCATGAAGAATGCTTTCCTCAGTGATATGCATAGGCGATTCTTCAGGATCTCAGTTGCGGTACCACCTTTAAATTCAACGCTCATAAATAGCAGTTTCTTCGGCACCGTCTGGGTTTTTCAGGCTTTTTCTTTAACTTCATAGTTTTCTCGATAAATCTTGGAGGATATCCATTCTCTATGGGGACTTGTCTGAGTCCCTCCAGTTCCCCTGTTGTTAAATTGACACTCAGTTACTATTATTCTCACTCAATAAGAATTTTTATCTTACCAAATTTCTAACTTTGCGCCGTTGAGTACCACGTAATTTACAACTTTTATTTTTTACTTCTAAAGCCACTTCTGAGTAATTATATCAATTATATCATCCGTCCTATCACTCAATAATAGACTACTATATATATATTGGTAAATATAAATACGACTGTACAGCCAGCCTCTGAAGATGATTTCGTCGATAAAGAAAATTCTCTTCGTTGAATCCGTCTTTTATTTTCTTCATACTGGGGTTTGACTAAGCGATTCATAGTTTGCTAGTCGACCGGTAGCACAGTGGTTAGGTCTCTCGCCGACCATGCACATGGTACGAGGTTCGATCCCCTGCCGACGCACACCTGATATCTATGGTCGGCCTACAAAATCTGGGCTACCGATATCCATGCTGAAAGTTCCATACTTGTACCAAAAATACAGTGTGGAATCAAGCTGTAATCAAAATAAAAAAGTACAATAGAGGCCATGATGCAATCAGCGACCGCTGTCATCTCTTTGTTACCGTTTCTTAGACAGTCCAGTGATATATATATATATATATCTGCGAATCGTATCCGCCCACGCAAAGTCTGCTGTGATTGGTTGTTAAATTCGTCAAGGTTAGCCTTTGTTCTTGTTTTCTCACATAGCCCCGGATCAGGACGTGAACATTGTCGTCATTCGCTGTCACCACATTAATATTCATAAAGTATGTATCAACCCTAATGATATGATTGCTGATAATGTAATAGCATGAATACAAAAGACTCGTATTGCACTTTTCCAACACTAGCCATGCCTAGCGTAAACGTGATCTCTGCCTGGCGATAGCCAGTCTTTTGACGTGTGTACTGCTCAGAAGCTCATTGTCTCCTTTATTTGTGTCTGTAAGACATTAGACCATTAGAATTGGAATATACCTGAATATAGGGCTAGTTCACTTTGGTCGCAGAAGTTTGCTTTCTCTTACCCGTGTGTAAAGTGGTATAATAGTTTGAGGAATATTGTGGTTAGGCATTTAGTGTTAGCTAATGAAGGGAAGTCAGTCTATGTGGCTCTGATACAACACATTGATTGAGATAAGCAAGGACATGTGTTGCGCATCCTGAGCCACTGTCCTCCTTGTTGATCAATGATCAGTGACCTAGAACCAGATGTGGCAGAGTTAGGCGGGGTCTATGGGTTCTTGACTTGAGAATCCCGCCCCACGTACAACTGCTGTATGGGTCTCCACAAAATAAGTGTGACTTATAGCCCTGTACAAGGTGATTGACACCTAACTTACCATTGTGTTCTGAATGTTACTCAATAAATAACTTCCTATAGTGCTACATACTTTATCATCAGTTGTCAGCATGTCTAGTATGTATAGAATTATGCCTCATCATGAATTTTCTCTTGAATCGCTGCACTTTTTGAAGTAAGATTCACTAACATACTGTCGGTGAATCTGATGCTCGCTGGTAACAGGCTACAGGATGAGGTTGTCTGGAGGTTCGGTAAAAAAGTGTGACCAGTTGGGACCACTAGGTCGGGAGTAAGGACAAACACTCTCCTGTGGCGTTGGCTGGCGGTTGCGCTGTATATAGCGCCAACTGCTAGAAGTTAGAATTCTTGGGCTGGGGATTGAGGTGAATCGTCCTAATGGATGGATAGTCTACGAGCTTGTTTTGTAGCCGTAGGGTCCCAGATTCAAACTTCGCACTGTGGGGGAGCGTGCTGATAAAGAGTCCGGAACCAGTACTCTCTGATGGTTTCCAATGCTTCTCTAATTGATATCAACCCGCGGTCAATCCCTGCAGACTAACCCTTGAAAATCATTTTCTACTGGTTTGCAGTTTCAACTGATGGAAGCACTACAAATTTCTTCTCGGAGTTTTTGAGATTTGTGTGTATAATGTATGTTCTGTGGAGCTCTGATTTGTGGTCTAGACACCAGGCTCCTTCAACTGCTGGATTAAGAGTTGATTTTCGTTTCCATTCAACAATGTTTGGACAACCGAGAGGTATGTATCCCTAATCCTTACGCAGTAGATATGTGGCTCACTACTAACTGCATGGAATTGTGCAAATGGCTGTTGAGTAGTAGTAATGTATGTTCTCACCAAGAGTATAAGCGCTACAGAGGGAGTTACGTCTGACGATAAAGATTCCTAAAGGTTTAACATTTTTCCCCCTCCTTTGTGTTTCGAGTACAACATATGACTACAGACTTTAAGATATGAAGTGTCAGTAGTAGTGTTTGCTGTTAACTGGATTTGAGCGGAGGGGGGAGGCTTGCTATCCTCATGCCCAACTTTTTCTCTTCATCTGGCTTATTACTTTAAGGCGTATTAGTATAACAAAAACAAACTTGGCGCATTAACGACATAAAGAGATGCATCACACAAAATCTCGTCTGCCCTGATGATCAGATCGAAGCGGAGATAGTTATCTTAAGTAACTAACCTTTCCACCTGCCTTTGACATGATAATTCTGCTCCATAAGGCAGGGGAGAAGTGTCATCGAGTACATTCCCATGCTTTCCGGTGATTCAGTAAGGTTCACATGTTACCCACATACACCATAGGTTTCGAATGAGGATTTCCCAGTTTCCACCAGTTCGGTTCTACACGCCAAAACTTTTGAATTCACCTTTTCAGTTTTGTGAGGAACATCCCTGCGTTGTAAAGGCTTAGTAATAAATATGATTTATCTGACAGTGGCTATGAACGGTTGTCGCCATATGATGGGAGTATTTCGAAAGAAAGACCGGAGTCTACCCATCCACCTAGTGCCATTGTTGGACGTTCACGGGGTCATCAGTCAAGCTAAGTTTAGGAGAAATTATATATATATATATATACTTATATATATATATATTTGTATAATTTTTATTTCTGTTTTTCTTTCTTCTCTATAAAAGCCTTCTTGTCCTTGTGCAAGACTTTCGCTTCTCCTGCAAGTCGGATTTTCCCTTGCAGTAGCTGAACGAGAAATGAATTTCGAACACAGAGATCTTCATTTGGGGAATGTTTTGGTCAAGGAAAGTCCTGTGTCTCGTGCTAGGAATCCTTCTTTATCCTCTAAAACATCATCATCTTCTTACCCTTTTCCATCCGGCTCCGTCTCGTCATCGTCCACATCTCCAAAAAGTTACTGTAAGTATTGTTCTCACTTGGAAGGGGTGGATGAAGAATCTGATAAAGAAAATAAAGAATATTTCATTATTGAAAAAGTCAACAATTACGAATATGTGGAATTTCGTCTGAATAATCAGATGATCAGAGTTCCCAAATGTGGTATCACGGCTTATCTTATAGACTTTACTTTGTCCCGTTTAGAGCAAGGTAAGTAGTCGGGTGGGGAATTATTTTGCACACTGTTTGTTTTCTCAAAGTTTCTTTTCACTCTCATATACTATAACTACTACATACTGAATGATGTATATATATATATATATGTATATATATATATATATATATATATATATATATATTGGGGTTTCAGATCACCGAAAATATCCATTGAGTTATGAAGAAAATTAAAAGACGAATTCAACGAAGAGAATTTTCTTTATCGACGAAATCATCTTCAGAGGCTGGCTGTACAGTCGTATTTATATTTACCAATATATATATAGTAGTCTATTATTGAGTGATAGGACGGATGATATAATTGATATAATTACTCAGAAGTGGCTTTAGAAGTAAAAAATAAAAGTTGTAAATTACGTGGTACTCAACGGCGCAAAGTTAGAAATTTGGTAAGATGAAAATTGCTATTGGGTGCCAATAAAAGTATTGAGTGAAATGTACAAAAGGAACATATGGGAGTGATAACAGTGAATTAACTATGAAACTAAAAGTAAAATTGGAAAAAGAAAAAAATTTTTTTACAGGGAACGATTAGAGGAGGTTAAGACCATGGTAGAATAAGTGACTGGACTAACCTTTTCTGTCTACAGAGTCTGGGGTTGTATTGATGAATTACCATCGCCTTAGCCATACACAAAAGCCGAAACCTGATACCCTTTGTACCGTTTGCCTCACCCTGTAGATAATCTTGAAAGACTACTCTGGTGGAATTACGTGGCTTGAGTTCACTGAATGGTCGAGAATTAAGCTGGGAATTGTCCTGCATTGTCCTTTGGCTAACCATGCCGGATAATGTTCTGAGGTGCGTTTGGAGAGTGTACGCTTTGTGGGGTCAATATAACTAGCTCCACAGGCGCAGGTGAATGTATGAACACACACTGAAGTGGCTCAAAGCGGAAGTTTATCCTTCGCGCATCCGAAGATCATTTGTCGGCTGTGGAAATTGATACGTAGCTCAGCCATGAAGAATGCTTTCCTCAGTGATATGCATAGGCGATTCTTCAGGATCTCAGTTGCGGTACCACCTTTAAATTCAACGCTCATAAATAGCAGTTTCTTCGGCACCGTCTGGGTTTTTCAGGCTTTTTCTTTAACTTCATAGTTTTCTCGATAAATCTTGGAGGATATCCATTCTCTATGGGGACTTGTCTGAGTCCCTCCAGTTCCCCTGTTGTTAAATTGACACTCAGTTACTATTATTCTCACTCAATAAGAATTTTTATCTTACCAAATTTCTAACTTTGCGCCGTTGAGTACCACGTAATTTACAACTTTTATTTTTTACTTCTAAAGCCACTTCTGAGTAATTATATCAATTATATCATCCGTCCTATCACTCAATAATAGACTACTATATATATATTGGTAAATATAAATACGACTGTACAGCCAGCCTCTGAAGATGATTTCGTCGATAAAGAAAATTCTCTTCGTTGAATCCGTCTTTTATTTTCTTCATACTGGGGTTTGACTAAGCGATTCATAGTTTGCTAGTCGACCGGTAGCACAGTGGTTAGGTCTCTCGCCGACCATGCACATGGTACGAGGTTCGATCCCCTGCCGACGCACACCTGATATCTATGGTCGGCCTACAAAATCTGGGCTACCGATATCCATGCTGAAAGTTCCATACTTGTACCAAAAATACAGTGTGGAATCAAGCTGTAATCAAAAATAAAAAAGTACAATAGAGGCCATGATGCAATCAGCGACCGCTGTTGCAACCGTGCATCATTGGTTGCTCGTTTACTATGCACTCACTTGGTCTGTGGCGGGGAGAGGGGGTTTCTACTTCCGACGCCCCTGGTGCACACTCCTTAACCTTCTCAACGGGTAGTAAGGAATCCCGATATAGCGGGGTGAGTTGAAGTGCGTGGGATAAAATCAGGAGAAAACACCCACACTTTGTTTTAGGATACATGTTATCTCCATGTTCGGTGTGCGGCTGCAGACAACACATGATAATGTTAGTCTGAGTTTCAAAAGAAAGCCCCATATCGGTGCAATAGATGGTTAAGTTAAAAGTCAGTAACCTGGAACATATTTTGTCGACCAAAGGACGTGTATTGCTCAACAGTTTGCTCCGTGATCCCTCATCGCTGTTTAGTAGTAGTGAGACATAATAATAATGGTAAAGCTTTATCTAAGACAGTATGCGAATATACGGTACAAAAATTTTCAGCGTATTCAGTTCCAAAGTACTTTAATCTTCACACAGGATTCGCATGCAAAGTAATAATCTGAAGTGTATCTTCATTTTGTTGAAGAATTGTACAGCGTTTAATTGGGAGCGAGTTAAATCACCGTGCAAGTTTATGTATAGGTCATTTGATATAACTGGACGATTAAAACAATGATAAATCCTGATGAAATTAAGCACTTTGGAGGGAAGTAATCTCGGTAGCCCAATGATTTAAGCAGGCCACCAATGTAAGTAAAGGATATGAAAAGACTAACGGTCTTTGACTGGTTATAGGCGTTTACTTCTTATCTCCTATTTTAGGTGGTACGGTAGGTTGAGTAGTAATAAACGTAGGGCCTAGAGTGTTAGGTAAGGAGGGGGTGGTGAGTGAATCGATGAGGTTGCTAGATTCTACATCTGTCGACATGATTAAGTCATATATTACGCATGTCTAGCCATCGGCTTCCTCGATAGGTAATGTTATCCGACTCATGTTATAGATGGTGAAGCCAAAACCTGGAATAAAAGCATGAAGTCTTAGCCAGTCCCGTAGGGAGTGGGGGAAGTGTAGGTAACCTGGTTGAGAGGTGTTCACAGGATCCTATGAACCAATAAAGACTGGAGATAATTGGTTATATGATTCGAAATTGTTCTCAAAAATGGCGCACAGATGCATTCACTCTCTGTGATCGGCTATATCCATTTAGACCATCATGTTTTTACATGTTACTGTTCTTTCTCTTGTTCATACTTCTGCTTATTACAGTTGTTTTGAATCTGTTTTCTCCAATTTCGTCTTCCTTTGTGTGGTACATGAAAGGAGTGTGGCAACCCCAACTGGTGTACTTCAGTGCAATTTCTATGTCGGAATTATCACTGTAAGCGAAGTACGTAGGTTCAAGGTGATGAAAAACATGATTTTTCGATTACTTAAATAGCGTAAATATTCATTCAGACATCTATAAAACACAAAATAATTGGGAAGTAGGGAATATCCCACAATTATATGAACGTATATTTATATATATTTTTTATTTAGAATATTCTGGAATAGTAGTCAATAACAAAATTGGTGTTTTTTTTAATAATATAGGTTTGTTAATTAAGATCACAATAGGATTACAGACAGTTCACGAAAGATGCATAAATTATAATAATAATGATAGTAAAAATATAATAGAAAATAGAATATCAAACAAAATTAAGGAAATTTCTACAACAAAATATTGAGGATCATTCGAACCTAGATGTCCAAAAGTTGAGGACAATGTCTGAACCAGATTCTTTTGGATACATAAATTAGGCTTCTTAATGTGGATTCCAACAGCCAGTTTCAGCATTGTGTAGTAGACGAACTCTTAAGGCGAAGATAAGATTTGTTTGTATGCGGTAAATGACTTTGAAAGCTTCCTCGTTGATATCAATCTTGTGTTGTGTATCCAAAAGATGAGATAGAATAGCGCTATGTGAATGCATTTTATTTGTCGTTTACTTAACCGACCACTCAGGGTGATATTTGGAAATTCGACGAGAGACATGCCTAATTGTGCGGCCTAAGCAGCTAACTGGTTCCACACGAGCAGGCAAACTAGTAGATACACATGGAAGAGACGAAATAGGGCAGTTTATCTTTTACTCCCCAACGCAAAACAGGGGTGGTTTCGAAGACAGCGTGATTCAGCAGTAGGAAATGCTCTTTGTACCGCCGTATTCACTAGATGTTGTGTTGGTATCTGACTAATGTTATTCCCGAGTAAGTGAATTTGTAAGAATAAGGCCTTTTCAGGAACTGTTGGTCCCTTGGACTGCCTTGTTGGTTGATTCATATTCTTATCAATAAACGTTTTCACTCAGCGACTGTTTGATATTAATAAAAATTTCTCATCAAGACATTCATCCGAGCAGATTGCTCTGTGAAGCGAGCATTTTATCAGATTGTGTTTGCATTTCAAAGGCACGAAGCTGAAAAAATGAGTATACTGACAGTCAGTTGATTAAGGTTTTGTGTATACACTTCTTCCTATTGTGCCATCTTCTTTTCTAGTCATAAGGACGTCTAGAAATGGAATATTGGAGTCATTTCCTTTCTCAATAGTAAAATTTATTGCAGGATGAACATCGTTAAATTTGTCCACGTCGGATGTTCTTTGCTTCATCCTCATTTTTCATAATCAAAAATGCGTCAGTCATCCATGTACCGACAACAGAATTCAAGTTCATCAGTTGCGTCTTTCAAAGGCCCATTTTGTAGTTTTGCAAGAAAAATGTCGGCTAGAATGGGTCCTAGTGGTGACCTGATTGCCACACCATTGATTTGTCTGTAAAGTTCGTTATTGGATAAAAAGTGAACATTCTTTGTACATTTCAAGAGATGCTGTTTTATAAAAGGAATAGGAATGCCGACATCTATTTTTCGTCTTATGAGTTTTTCGCATACAAAGTCTATTGTCTTCATAAGTGTTACATTGGTGAATAAGAGAGATACGTCAAGTGATATCATGAATTTATTGTCCACATTTAAATCTTTTATCCCCAACAAATTCCATTGGTCTTACTTAACAAATCGATATTATTTAAAAAAAACAAATATTGTTATTGACTACTATTCCGGAATATTCTATGTTTATAAGCGTATACATATATAAAAGAGGAAATTATGGAGAAGGATATCCTTTACTTAGTTATTTTGTTTGTTTTTTTACCTCAAATAGAGCAGCTTCAAGGTGCCTGGCGGTTGTTTCTCCTGATTGTTGTCCACATTGTGGCAGTTAAAATTTTTCTTGGGGTACCTGAAACAGGGAAACTATTAGTGTGACGTGGCCATAGAGTCAGTAGTACAACAACAGCATGAGGCCGGTCGATCGATCGGTCAAACACGATCTGTTTGAAATTAGTTTTTTGAGTAGCATCCATGAATAAAATCCTGTCGCCGGCTACAGACTACCACGAAGTAATTCGGGATGTACAATTTTTGGAGTCAAACTTTTTTGAAACCTTGTTCCTCCTCTCGAAAATGGTGAGAGATAGGTTGGGTGGCTTGCTGGTCATATGAGAGAAACATTCAGCTGTCGTTACATCTGTATTCACCAACAGACGCGCGCCCAATACTGTGTGAACGACTTATAGTAGAATGGAAACTGTTTTTAGCTTAATTCAATTTGATTGATCGGAGCGAAATGCTCGGCTTCAGGTTGACATGTCGACTCTTCGTGCAAATGCCTCAATGATGTCTGATGACTGAAACTGTTTCTGCTGTCTAACCAACGACTGGATCGTTGGAAAGAGCATTATGAGGAGCAGTTTAATTTGCCCACAGCCACGCTCAACCTGCTGAACATCCAACACCTCCCTGAATGGGATATAAACACAGGTCCTCCATCCCTAACTGAGGTTACTAAAGCTGTCACCAATCTGAAACTAGGCAAAGCAGCGGGACCTGATGGAGTGACTCCAGAGGTATTTAAGTACGGTGGAGACAGCTTGCTGTCTGCATTAACTGAGGTTCTAGGCAGCGTCTGGGAATCAGAAGAAGTCCCATCGGGTTGGTGTAAGTCACTGATTATCCCCATATACAAGAAGGAAGACAAGTCTTCCTGTGATAATCACACAGGGATTAGCTTGACTAATATAGTACCTTAAGTCTTAGGCTCAATAATCATGCGTAGACTGAGTGGTGCTCGGGAAGCACAAACACGAGAGAGCCAGGCAGGCTTTAGACCAGGAAGAGGGTGCATTGATCATATCTTCACCCTCCGACAGATTCTAGAACATAGGAATTCCTACCGTCGTCCAACAGTCATTATATTTCTTGACCTAAAGGCAGCATTCGACTCTGTCAATCGGGAAGTTCTCTGGAGATGCTTGGCTGTAAAGGGAATTCCAAGAAAATATATTGCACTGATTAAGGCACTCTACTCGAACTCATACAGCCAGGTGAGGACTTACAGCGAGTTGTCATCTGAACTGATGACGACCAGGGGTGTCCGTCAAGGATGCCCATTATCTCCTTTTCTATTCAACTTCAACATAGATGTGTTAATGGACTTAACCCTAGGTGACTTCAGCGACTCAGGGATTGACTTGCTACCGGGGAATAATCTCGTTGACTTGGAATATGCAGACGATATAGTCCTTCTAGGCGAAGACGCTGACGAAATGCAGAGTCTTCTAAACACCTTGAGCAGCAATCTACGAATGTTTGGCATGTGATTCGCTCCCGCCAAATGCAAGATGATGTTACAGGACTGGACTACATCGACGCCTAGTTTAAAAATAGGAAGTGAAGTGGTAGAGCACGTTGACCGCTTCACTTATTTGGGAAGTACCATCAGCCCCAACGGGCTGATCTCTGACGAAATCTCAGCACGAATACAAGGGGCTCGTTTCGCATTTGTTAGTTTACGCCGACTCTGGCGTAGACGAGATGTTCGACTATTGACGAAAGGGCGGGTGTACTGCTCATCAGTCCGCTCCGTCCTCCTTTATGGTTGTGAGACCTGGCCACTGAGAGTGGAAGACATGAAAAGTTTAGCTGTCTTCGATCATAGGTGCCTGCGCTCTATTTCCCGTGTAAAGTGGCATAATAAGGTGAGCAACATTGAGGTTAGGCGTAGAGTTCTAGGTAAACAGGGGAAATCAATAGACGAAGTTGTGAAGTTACAAAGACTGAGATGGTTAGGACATGTGTTACGTATGCCAAGCCATCGCCTCCCTCGACGAGCAATGTTAGCGGATATAGGGTCAGGCTGGAAAAAAGCTAGCGGCGGTCAAACAAAAACTTGGCACCAGTCAATGAAATCCACAACAGTTGGTCTAAGCCACGTAGAAAGGCGTAGACTTCCAGGCTGGGGTCCTCGGGACGGTTAAACTCTATGGTTGGAAACAATTGGTGACATGGCCCAAAACCGTTCTCAGTGGCGCAGATGCATCCACTCCTTGTGACTTATGATCTCCAATTAAACTATTTTGTTTTTTTTATTACTCCTTTGTCTCACACCTCTGCTCACTGTTTCTATTAAGCTTTTCTTGTACTTTCTTCTCTTGCTTCGCGTGCTACACGGAATGTGGCGACTTGAACTTCCGCACATTTGTGCAAAGTTCTATGTCGAAAACAGACAGACAGACAGACAATGCGGCATGCAAGAATTTTCAGCAATATTACTTCCGTCTTGTGTAACCCGTTTGGGGTCATTGAGCTATGTACAATCGCATTTATATTTAATTATTTGTGTGTGTACATGAGGTTTGTCAAGTTTAGATAATTGATCAGGTAATAAAAGAATGATCTAATAAAGAAACATAGTTAATTGGACAGCAATTAAAGTAAGATTAAGTTAGTAAGTTAGATGACGTAATATTATTGACTAAAATGTTTCAACTTAGGTCAGGGTAGCAACAGAGGTAATTACAGGTAGAGACTAAGTAGAAGTGGGGTAGATAATAATGCCATTTAAATTAGAACTGAAGTTGAGCAATTAAGTTGGATGACGTAACATAAGTGACTACATATCACCCACCTTCATTTATCGCAAACTATTTATTCTTCGTTACCCTTTATATCAGTGTGCATGCCGCATATATATATATATGCGTTCAGAGTGTCCGAAATGCGTTGTGTATATTACCTGTGTTTGAGATCAGTTCAAGTTTTTGTTATTATCTGACATGAGTTAAAGGACCATTGGAAAACCTGGGAGTACTGGACTACTGTTTCGTCCTAGTCTGTGACTCTTCAGTAGTACGCACCCACCGGGGTTCGAACCCAGAACCTTCTTAAACATTTTCATTAAAGACTACTACAAGTACTACTACACTGTATTACCGAATAGACTAATATTCAAAAAAATGATTGTGGAACTCTTCATTCAAATCGTGATCAGAGTTCATATTAGTTTGGTTTATTTTGTTTTTCATGACTGAACGACGAGGACTCTCAAGACTACAAGATGTTTCTACCTAATTTTGTATTTATGACTGTCTGAGTGTGTGAAGTTACATTTGGCTGAGAGATGGTTAGGACATGCGTTACGCATGCCTAGACATCACCTTCCTCCCCGAAGGAAAATGTTGGTTAACATAAGATCATTGTTGCAAAAGAGTTAGTGGTGTTCGGACCGAAATTTGAAGTCGGTCTACGAGAATCTTGAGAGTTGGAGGCAGTCAAGTAGGGAGGTGTGTAGGCTTCCTGGTTGGGCATTGTTATAGCTGACTCACATAGGATGGATCAGGTTGGAAAAGATTAAGGGAGTGGTGGTGGTCAAACTAAAACATGGCTTCATCAGTCAGTGTAATCCACAACAGTTAGTTAAAGCCATCCAGTCACGTAGGAAGGTGTAGACTGGCTTCCTGGTTGGGATCCTCGAGACAGTTTAACTAATAAAGACAGGAGACAATTGGTGATATGGCTCAAAATTATCGTTGTCAATGTCTGGCGTAGATGCATCCACTCCTTGTGACTTATAATTTCCATCAAACTCTGTTGATCTTCGATATTACTATTCTTTTTGCCTCATATCTCTTTTAACTGTCACTATTTTGCATTTCTTTTTACTTTCTTCCCTTGCTTTGTCTGGCGACTTGAACTTCTGCACATCGGTGCAAAGTTCTATGTTGAAACCAGTCAGTCAGTCCTCAGGATTGTAATAATACCAATGAAGACTGGAGACAATTGGTGGTGGTGGTGATATGGCTCGATAATTGACATAGACACATTCACCACTTCTCGTGACTTGTTATATCGTTTTAAACCATCATGTTCTTTCGTGCATTTCTGCTTATAATGGTTGTTTTGAATATAGATTTTTGTCCGTTTTGTCTTATTTTGTGTACTACATGGGAGTGTGCTGTGGCAACTTGAACTGCCCTACTTCTTTGGAAGTTTCTATTTTGAAACCAAGTCAATTAGACGCTTTTACATTCAATTTTTGTAGACAACTGTTCATTCCAAGTTTTATTTATCGAAATTTATTCATTCCGATTTTATACCCACCTTCAATCCATTTTGTTGTATGATATGTTTCCCCTTTAATTGTAGATGGTGGTTTTGTCTATGTTGACTTAAGTAGTGACACTACTTTGTTTCAGTCCAAAGGTGATTATCAATTCGACATATATCGTCGTATGAAATCACATAATCGGTAAGTATACATAAAATGATATACTTTTTTGTGTTCAAGTAAATCATCTTTAAATATTCCCATTTATAATATTATAACTAGACATATAAGCGAACAATATTGTTATTTCCAATTAGATCTACTTCAGGCTTTACTCTGATTTACATAGACTTATATATAAAAAATTTTAACCAATGACAGTGATTTTGTGGATCAAATAATAATAATGTGGTAAATGTTTTGAACGTCGTTAATAACGATGATTATAATGATAAAATATTGATAATAAGGCTAATATAGGTGATAAGAATAACAAAGTTAGTATATGCATATATGTAGACAATTCAATAAATAAATAAATTAGGTCAAATCAAATGGAACGATAATCAGAGTTTAAATAAATATCATAGAAGTACGAAGGAGATGGATGATAAGAAAGGGTGGGAGGGTTTTGAATAGAATGCATCTAGGCCAAGGGAGAGGTAGAACAAACTTTTTTGTATACAAAGACACTAGGATTGTTCTCTCGAATTCCCATAGCTTCGGCTAAGTGTAAAAAACGGGTTCTGATTCCGTTCGAATGACTCGATGGAATGCGGTGAATAACTTTGAAGGTACTATTTTTGTCCACTTGGTGACCGCTATCAATCGAATGAGCCAAGATAGGACTTCGTATGGATTTTATTTGACCTTTTCCGAACCATAAGGGAGGATGCTCATTAATGCGTTTGTTAAGCTGTCTGGTTATTCGGCCTATATAGCCAGCTTTCTCCACAGGAAGTGGCACAGCTAGCTGAATAGCCTATCCTTCACTTGAGCAATCAAAACTGGTCGGCTGGAAAATGACAAACAGAGGGTGGCGGCAGTATAAGTCCGTTTTATCGCTCTCGATGATCTCTGATGTAAGACTTCACTAGCCACGTCCCCATTAAATTGGAGTTTCATGAACAGTTGTTTCTTTTCAACTGTTGTCGGTTTATCTTTATTTTACTTGGTGTTCATGTGTCTTCATACAAATCTACTAGGACAACCCATTTGGACTAACGTATTTTGGATGTATCCTAACTCATTCTCTAGCAAGTCATCTGTACAGATGCGTCTTGCTTTATTCGTTAGGCATCTGACCAAATTGATTTTGTATCGGATTGGTACATAACTGAGGAAATGTGTATATTGTCCTACAGACGTAGGTTTTCTATAGACATCTCTCCTGAGTGAAACATCCTCTCTTCTGCTCAATTGGACGTCAAAGAAGACTTTTGCCTGACAAGGTTTTTCTTTAACTGATGTCAGCTAGCTTGTGATGTGACAAAACTATGCTGTGATTCGCCCGAACTAGCCTCATCATCTGCTGCATCCACCTGCATCGAACGTCATGCTATTTGTTGTGAACAGCTGAAAGACTTAGAGTTGAGCACACGGAGATTCAAATACAAATCCGCATTCGACTTGGTGACAACACACAAATTGTTTAAAAACTGTCGGTATTTTTTCAGTGATAAGTAACTTCTCCAAACGTGGTTGTGAATGTGTGTGTGTGTGTTACCCTTTCACATTTTGAATTGTGCTCCTTCATTTTTTTCCTTCAGTCTTTCATTTGTCTTCCTGCCTTTTTTTTGTTTTCTGTGCCTTCTGATTTTTTTGTACTTAAGTAACACTATTACTTTTTTCTATTGTTTTTATTTTGTTGATTGAGATAGAAATTAGATATATGTATATATTTTCTAGCAAAAATGTCTGTTAGTTGATGTTTATTCGGTTGAAATATAGGCATTTGTTGTGAATTGTTGCTTGTGTTATGTTATATATAATGCATCCAACCTGTGTTTAAGAAGGCTAGTGGCGCGCAACTACACCACCAGTGTGATTGATTGACTGGAACTGTCATCAGAGGGCTTGAAGCATTGAAAGGAAGCTAAGAGTTACCGGAGTGTTTTTTTTCGTATCAGTTTGGGACTTTTTGGCAATACGCGCATCCGTGTCCCCAATCGGCGGTCGGAATCAGGATTCGTAGTTTATATGGGTGATTCGTTGACCACTTAGCCACTGGGATAAGGTCTGATAGCTTATCGTCTTATAACCGTAAAGTTCATTGAAATGGACCTCGATAAGGTCCAGTTCTCCCAGCTGTTTCTTTCATCTGTTCTCTAACTGATCTCGGTCAGTTCGTGATCTTACTTCAAATCCTTGCAAACGAACTCTTGAAAGGTAGTTAGTTGTAGCTGCTAAACATATGGGAACGGCATATATACAAAATAAATTCCAGAGAGTCGGAATTCAGGACAAATTGTTAGTAGTCGCGCTAAAATTTCAAATCAGTAAAACTGTTGAAACTCACGAATCATTGAGCTGGGTCCCGGCGGCTGAATGAATGCTTTACGAGGATATCTTTTAACCGGAAGATCCAGGGTTCGAGCCCCACAGTGTGGATGATGATGAGCCTCAACCTAGAAGTAAACAGCTCTCCAGTAGTCCTACTTGGTCTCTCAATGGTTCTCTAACTGATGCCAGTCTGCCGTCAAGAAAATAAGACAATCAATACTTGGTGATAAATACTACAGTGATTGTCGAATACAAAATAACACTCTTCATTTTTAATTGACACTGCAGTCGTACAGGAATATATACTTTGCAATATTGTCTTTCATGTTTGGTCACTAGGTACTCTGACTCTGAAGTTCTTAATAAATAAGCTAGTTGATTAATGACATGCTTGGATCAACTTATGATGGATGTTGAACCCTTTGGAATTATTGTTAACTCATCTTTCAACCTTTTCCAAATGCACTTAGTTGAGACGCATAGATTTCTATCGAAATAACATTGTTAACTGCCTTGTTCATCTCTTGTCACTCTCATAAACTGCTCCTGGGGTATGATCAGACTACTGATAATAAATATTTTATTAGAGACCTGGCTTCAAGGTATTCACTCCATACATATGCTTTTACTGCGGTTGTTCTGCTCGAAAATTCAGCCTGTGAAATTTTTCAGTTAGCCTACTTTCTTTTTATGTAAATTGTCAGATTGTGGCCCCGTATATACTGCGATGGACATAACATCCATGGTGATATCTCACGTGGTTTCGTGCTCTTTTCGACAAATGTGTAGCTCTCTACTTTCTCTGCAGTCGAACGGTTGCTGTAATTACCTTGTCTACCGTAGAACACTTCTTTTCCACAAGTTTCGCAGTACAACTAGCTGGCATACTCTCTACAACTGTGTTTGTTTGCTTTTGAGCGTTACTTGTATCTCGTTATCATCATCACTAGCATCTGTGAAAATTATCATGGACATTTAACAAAAATTTTGTGTCATCGGTCGATCATCTAAAAGTTCCATAATCTGATCGCTTGTCTACTGTACCTCTTCGATCCAAGTAAACGTAGTGTGTTACGTAACAACCTACAACTCAAGGTCTCTAGTGTCTCCTTGGAGGTTTCCACAAACATCTATTCTCAAATGTGTCTGTGGGGAAATAATAGTTGAGTGGAGATTTGCATGATCAGGAAGATGGTTGGCTACTGGGGGTGGGTGGTGAATATATCCTCCACGGCAATAAATTCAGTTTATATTTTCGAGAGACTTCGACAAAACAATAAGAACTCGTCAGTTACCTGGAAAGTGTGTAGTGTTTTTGCGCAACAAATTTCGGACATGTAGAAATTACATTTGTAAAATCTCAGCGGGGTTGAAATAAGTAATTCCAACGTTCCGTTCGGCGAACTGGGGCCCATAATAATTTCGACTAGTTTCCCTGAAGAAGTTCGGACCAGTTACTTATTTCAATTTCTCTGAGATTTTTACAAATAGAACTTTCACATATGCCTACTTTTCACTTGATCCCAGTTCGTGAGAAATTTCAGACATTCTGTTCACATACGCATTTTTGGCATTTTGGCGGCCTGTTTGACACCTGGGCTACCTTTTCGTGCATCTACATATTGCATCTAATACATCATGTTTTCATTCTTAATTTTAATAAAATGTGATCACGAATCGTATAAAATACAGTAGTTCATCCACTAAACATTTAAAACCATATGACTTTCATGCATCTAATAAAACTAAGACCTTATTGATTGTATAACAGTTAAATGCCGTCCGAAATACTTATCCAAGTTTAAATACGTCTTCATCTCAAACATTTATGTTACTCCTGGCTGTTCTGCCTCGGATCTATCGGATTTTGCTGACGAATCCACTGAATTCGCCGTTACACATCTTGAAAACTCTTTATCAGTTGTCACTGGAGATTTCAATTGCTGTGATTGTTCTTTCCTTGTATCATTAGGTCATGTCAATATTGTTAAATTTCCTACTCGACTTGATAAACTCTGGATCTAGTGTTTAATAATGATGAGGAAATATATGAATCACGGAGACGAGCTCCTATAATGAACTCGGGTCATTGTATTATTCGGATATTACCTAAGATATACAGCAGATCTCACTTTAATATCTTCTCAAATCTGTCCAGGGAAACACAGCAAAGGTGTTACTCACAGGAAAATATACTCAAACGAAGATGTATGCTAAATGACACAAACTGGGAACTTTTCAACGAACACACACTGGATGATACTATTTCCAATTTGACTGACTATCCTAAATTCTGCCTTGATATATGCTGTCCAAAACAGATACTCTCCAAAAGAATGGACTGTTTCACTTCCCCTCATCTCAAAAAGCTTCGAAGAGAAACTGTACAAGACAAAGAATAAATCTGGTCTTAGGAAGATAAACATCCAAATTAAATCTGAAATCAAGAGACTAAACAATATTTATGATCAAACAATACTCTCGTGTAAATCTTCAGAAAACATATGGAAGCTTTTTAGAGAAATTACAGGTAGTGGTAAGCATAATAATTTTGCCTCTTCTATTGATGTAAATACTCTCAATAGATCTTTTATCCGCCCTCCAAATGTCTCTTCTGCCTTCAATTTAACTGATAACACGACCAGTGACTTTCATAATTTCAATACTTTTGATGTTCTTAAATGTTTAAAATCTCTTAA